GGAGTGTAAGGAGAAGGATACCCTCCCGAAATGCAGGAACTGTCTAAAGGACATAAACAATATAGGTGACGCGAAACACAATACTTTCAGTAAAAATTGCCCAGTGAGAGCCAGAATGGACACCTTAGCTAGATCAAAAATAGCGTATTGCTAAAGGCAGCCAAAGCATAATACAAATGATGCAAATTAATCTACAGAGAGCAAAGAATCCAACGGCCGAAATGATTCAGACAGCCTTGGATAGAAAAATACAAATAGTAATGGCACAAGAACCATATACCGGCAACACAGGGGTATTGGCCGGCCAGTCGGGAACAAGAGTTTACCAAGCGGACCAAAAGTCGGGGAGAATAAACAAAACGGCAATTATTATTTTCAATAACACCTTAAAAGTATACTCTCTCCCCGACTTAACGACACCTAACATAACTGCGGTAAAAATAGATGCATCCGATTGGCCGATCATACTCGTGTCGATGTATTTCGAGCCGGATATAGATATAAAGGAACATACTGAACACCTAGAAAAAATAATAAAGCAAAACAGAGGCTGTAGAATCATAATGGCTGGGGATGTCAACGCATGGTGCGAATGATGGGGCAGTGTAAAAAGTAATGAAAGAGGCACCGAATTAATAGGGATTACAAACGACTTGGGTCTGGAAATTTTAAATAATGGAAAAACCCCAACATTCCACACGTGGCGCGGAAGAGTAGAGTACAAAAGCCACGTAGACATCACCCTGTGTACTGCCAATCTGCTGAATAGTGTAGAGGAATGCAGAGTAGATGAAGAAGCAACCACGTCGGACCATAATGCGATCCTATTTGTTTTAAAAACAGCGAAAGGAAAGGAAAAGATAAATGATAAAACTACGAGAAAATATAATACAAAAAAGACGAACTGGAATATATTTATAGAGGAAATGGGAAAAGAACTAGAGGAAAAAAGCATTACAAAAGAAGAAATAGAAAAAAATAAAAATATAGAAGAATTTGAACTACTAATAGAAAGATATACTAACATAATGAGGAAAGTAACAGAGAAAAATACAAAACCGAAGAAATCAAAGAATAAAATAGGGATCGTGTGGTGGACCGAAGAGTTAGAAAGATTAAAAAAAGAAAAGAACCGGAGAAGGAAAAGAATAAAAAACGCATCTGAAAGCAGAAAGGCATACACTATAGAGCAATTTTTGATAGCGAGGGAGGAGTACATTAGGGAGATGGATAAAGCGAGAACCAACTGCTGGAAAGACTTTTGTACAAAGCAAACGAGGGAATCCATGTGGGAGGGGATTTACAGAGTAATCACCAAGGCGAAAAAAAACGGAGAGGACCAACTGATAATAAAGGAAGGGAAAATATGCAATCACTGAAGTCGGCACATATGATCGCGGAGTGCTTCTACCTGGTAGACTCTGAAGACGGGGAAAACGACTCCCATAAAAATGTTAGAGTCAGGGCGGCCAAAGCAATGGAGGGGAGTAACGATGACAGCTACGACCCCCCCCTTGCAGAGGCCGAACTAATTCACGCCTCGGAGTCGTTTAACCCGAAGAAGGCACCGGGTGGAGATGGCTTCACCGCGGACATACGTGCAGCGGCTATCAAAGCAAACATCCTGGTGGCCCTTTCAATGTTCAACAAAGGCTTTGAACTAGCCCACTTCCCCGCCCCATGGAAAATAGCAACGGTGATAACCCTCAGAAAACCTGGGAAAGACAATTATAACCAACCCAAGTCGTACAGACCAATTGGCCTATTATCAGTCATGGGCAAGATTTATGAAAAAATGCTGGTGAGACGTTTGAAATGGCAACTTTTACCAAAGATTAACCCAAGACAGTACGGATTCATGCCGCAGAGGAGCACTGAGGACTCCCTCTATGATATGATCCAGCGAGTTAGGAGCAATCTGGAAGAGAAGGAGATTGTGGCCCTAATATCGCTGGACATAGAGGGGGCCTTTGATAATGCTTGGTGGCCTGCAATCCACTGTCAGTTGAAAACACTAAAATGCCCCATAAACCTGCGGAGGCTTGTAGCGAGTTACCTAAATAACAGATCCGTGACGGTGAGGTATGCGGGAGAGGAGGTAAAGAGATCCACAAACAAAGGATGTGTACAAGGGTCCATCGGTGGACCCTTCTTTTGGAACGTTATTTTGGATCCTCTCCTGAATATACTCACCGAAAGCGGAGTATATTGCCAAGCCTTCGCGGACGACGTAGTCCTGATAGTATCCGCGAAAACCGCCAAAGACGTCGAAACAATCGCTAACAGAGCATTAGTAAAAGTAAAAGAGTGGGGTGTATCGAATAAATTAAACTTTGCGCCGCAGAAAACAAAGGCACTAATAATAACAAAGAAACTCAAATACGATACGCCCCAACTAAAAATGGGAGGAATAAACATCGACATAGAAAAAGAAATAAAAATACTGGGGGTTTTCGTGGATAACAAACTTACTTTTAACACGCACATTAGTTACGTATGCCGAAAGGCTATGAACATATACAAGGGATTAGCTGCCTCAGCTAGGCTTACGTGGGGGCTAAATCAAGAAATTATAAGAACCATATATGTCGCGGTCATAGAGCCGATTATACTATATTCAGCAAGTATCTGGGGAAAGGAAGCGCAAAAGATAAGAAGTAAGAAAGTATTGAATGTATTGCAAAGGGGGTTCGCGCAGAAGATAGGGAAAACATATAGGACCGTTTCTCTGAATTCTGCCTTAATATTGTCGGGGCTGCTTCCGCTGGATCTTAGGATCCAAGAAGCATCCCGGCTTTATGAAGCTAAGCGTGGGAAACCCCAGGCAATATTAAGAGGCAGAAAAATAGAGGAGAGGGTATCTTTGCTGGAATTGAACCACCCCGGCAGCCAGAGTATAATTGAATTTGAGTGCTTGGAAAACGCAGAAGAGGATGGCAAACTGGCAGAAGGTCTTGTGGAGATCTATACAGACGGTAGCAAACTTGAGGGAAAAGTCGGTGCGGCCCTGACCTGTTGGAAAGGGGCCGTTGAGATCGCTTCCCGAAAGTTTAAGCTGGAGCCGTACTGTACGGTCTTCCAAGCCGAGCTGTATGCCATCCTCCAAGCGACGGAATGTGTGATGAACAAGGAATGGAAGGCGGCTGCTGTGCTAAGTGATTCGAGATCCGCCCTACAGTCGCTGCAAGATCCAGACTCCTCGCACCCGATCACGAAGGCGATACAAGGCAACCTGATCCAAATTAGGGAACACGGCCAAAAGGTCTCCCTATATTGGATCAGGGCCCACGTCGGCGTGATCGGGAACGAGCGAGCGGACGAGCTGGCGAAGGGGGCGGCTCTCGGATAAAAATGCAAATCGCACTATGACGGGTGTCCCATCTCTTTTGTCAAAAGGCATTTACGCAATTTGACAAAAGTAGAATGGGACAGCCGCTATAGAAGCGAAGGCACCGCGGCCACGACGAAGGTCTTCTTTCCCAGTGGAGAAAAGGCCTTCTGCGTCGTGAGGAAAATGAAGATAGAAAGGTTGGCTGCACAGCTATTAACGGGGCATGAAGGGTTCAGGTCCTACCTCCATGAATATAAATGCAAAGATACCCCATACTGCGAATGCGACCCCAAAAGGAACAAGATATATTCCACGTCCTACTAGAATACCCGATACTAGGAGTAGAGAGACACACTTTACAATCAAGCATTAAAACACACCTTAGTAGGTCAAACCTAGAGAAAATAATAGCAGATAGTGATGAAAGAGAGGAGTTTATGAAAACAGCTTGTAAAATGGTAGAAAAAATTGTTAAGAGGAATAAAGATTGAAGAAATAAATAGATGTAATACAAAACAGCAAAAGAAATTGTGATATTAGAATTAAGTAAACAACCTGTTAGTAAAATATGAGTGTATAGAAAATAATAAAAATGTAAATTATAAATGTATGAATGTAAAATTAAAATGTAAGTAAATAAATAAATGCAAATAAATAAATGAAAATGTAAATAATTTTAAGAAATGTAATTAATATAAGAAAAATGTAAATTAGATATAAAACAATGTAATAGACAATAAGTAAAGATGGAAAAGAGGGAAAAAGAGCAATCCCCATAAAACAGACTAATAAAGTCTGTGTAAAGAAAAAACCAAAATACAAGCAAAAAAAAAAGCAAAAAAAGCAAAAAAGACATTCTGCTCAACAGTGGAGGAACCTGCATTAAAAAAAAAAACCAACGACTTTTTTTGGCGCTCAAGAAAATTAGGGCTAATTTTAGTGCCAAAAAATTAAATTAGTCATAAAAAATTCAAGTAATGCCTAAATTACCCATTAAATCTTTTTATTTAGTTTAAAATAGAGAAATCAACATCGTTTGCAACATACAAAAGAACTTTGTTTTCTCTTCGAATTCAACAATTGACAAAATGTTAAATAATTTGACAAAACAGGTACGAATTGTGCATTATATAGAAGTAAATGTTTACCTGGACGTTCATGTATGTCTGTGGACTATCTATACCTACATATTGCTATGGCTTCAATATGACATTTTCAAATCTATTTGCATTTTCTGTAGTTTTAATTACGTGTCATGGTTTTCGAAGCTATTAGCACGATTATAGAACAATGGGATGAGCTAAAATTACTGTTTTCACTTGCTAAATCGCAGGACAAATGTTATATGGCAGAGCAGAGCAGCTTCATGATATTATAAAACGTGTACCGTTTAAAGCGTTATTTGTTGTTATTTTTAAGACATGAATTGAAAGAAGTTATTCAACTGAATGTTATTTTTCAAAGTGACGAAGTAGAACCTATAAAATTATTTGAAGACTTATTTTTAAGTAATACAAGCAGGACAGGACTTTTTTTGGGGCTTTTGATTACACAGGGTTATTTGAGTTTGGTTTTAGGGTTTTATTTTGTTGGAAGTTGGTAACACTGTCCCTATATCATAAAGCACTCTTTGATCTAAATCGATCGGACAGAACCTAGCATAGATAATACATAAATCTAATTGGGACGATTTCTACTTGAAAAAAATGTAGAACATATTGTTTAGCAGCTGTTATCTAAAAACAGAAAAATGCAGATCACTGCTTTATTATTGTGTTTGATGACCTTACCTTTTTGCAGTTAGTACCTAACATCATGAGTGTAGTTTGGGATTAAGTAAATAGATTTTGTGTTATGGTAGAATGCAATTAATTTTATGATTATTGTAGGCACTGCAGCCCAAGAAGTATGTACAGATTTTCGGGGGCGTGTTATATTCAATGGACTCCATTATGTGCCCAGTTCAGACACCTGTACATTATGTGTTTGTGATAATGGGATCCCAAAAGAATGCAAAGCAGTGCTTTGTTCTCCACCACAGGTATGAATCTCATTTAACTGGGTTATATTCAACCTGTCAATTAAACCAATTAACCAGTCAATTGTAGGCTTGAAAAAGCTGCATATTTCAATAATACTTATGAATAGGCGAGCCTGAAACAAACAGTATAAAAAGTTATTTCCAGTACAGACGGATTTCTAATCATTGATAGAAGTCTGTCTGTACGTCTATTTTATGTTAGATCGGTGGTCGATTTGACGCTCCATAAAGAAGAGAGCAGAAGTCAGCATTGTCAATGATGAATGCATGTGTTGCACAATCAACAACAGCCTAAAATGAGACACTAGTGTCCAATTACCAATAGTAGTTACAACAGATATAACATTATGTGTAAACAAAATTGACTTGTACCCTAACTAACACAGAGGTTCCCAAACAATTTTTTCTCGTAGACCACTAAAAAGGATTACTGGTTTTGGTGGACCTCCTGCTGCAAAATTTTTAACATATTTCCAAAATGTGAAGATCTAACGATGAAAATTGGTGTCCTATTTTTATTTCATGCTAACATGACCCCCGTTGAAAATTCTTTCTGGACCACATAAGGAAACACTGCACTAACTTATGTTTAAATAATTTTCAATGGCCAAGTCATACAACATTTACTATTATAATAAAGAAATTGCAGTAAGGCCTTAAAATTGGCATGTCTTTGTCTAGATTTCATTATGTTTTAGAGATAAACAAGCAGCTCAATCGAGACTTAGATAGTTTTTTACAGAATGTTTTTGGTGGGTTTAACTTTTAGCAAATTATGGTAAATGAGTTATAAAAAGCTTAATCTATTATTACAGGTTATGTATGACCCAATAAAATAATTAATAAGCAATAAAGCTAATAAGTGTTTTTTTTCATTATGACTACATTATACAATGAATTCCTTAGTCTTGGTTTTTTTTTGCAATTGGTATAACATTAAATCAATTACAATGAAAAAGTATGATACTCACTCTATGCTGGTCTTGATCAGAAAGAAAGATTATCAACTGGCAACACCCGAACATGCAAATTAGAATACGGAAATGTTATAATATAAAATATTATCGGCCAGCATTGACCATAAACCATCTGATGAGTAAACCTACCTATAGTAATGTACATGGACGTTACTGTACCTACTAATGGTACCAGAACAAACAACTAATTTTTATATCTAAGTGCCATCTAGTATCATGAAATATACCTAAATTGATAATGCTTGAAGTTGCCCATTTTTAAAACGCTGTATGAGTATATTAATTTAACAAAATGTCAATTATCTTATAACAAAATAAAAATTTGTAGCTATAATATTTCTGGTGGTATGTGATGATGCCATCTAAATTAATTTAACACATATTGGAACCTTAATTGTCTCAACTGCCTCATATGATAGAACTAATTAATCATGCAATATAGATAATAAGATGACTGATTGATACTTGGCACATCACATTGCTTATGTTTTTGCACACCAGACTCGACAAACGCATCCTCTTTTAAGTTCATCTGGGGTTTATTGCTAAACTTTAAATAAAATAAATGTGTTGATGATAATTTATTTCAATAATATAGGATTGTCGGTCGTTCCGTGTTGGCAATACGTGCTGCGAATTTATCTGCCTTGATGATGTGGTGAAGCCAGCGGAAGCGGCAGAAGCTAATGTGCGCGTGGCTGCGGGCGGCGCGGCGGCTCTCGTGTTACTCACTGTGGCGGTGGTTGTTTACCGAGTTCGCCGACTTAAGCGACGCCGCCCACCTCACGCTGATGACCAACGTAGCCTCACTAGTATTGGGTAGGCATCCCGTAATTTTTATCGATATCAATTAAAAAATGACTTTAATGAATTAAAATTTAGATGTAAATATAATATTTCTGGTAATATGCTAGGTCTTTTTAGACCTACTACTATATTATATAATAAATATTAGACCACATAAAAACATTGCTCAGATTCTAAGACGAATATCTAAAGCTCCCGTATTATGGAATGAAATTTCTAAGACAACGAAGGTATGACAAAACCTAGATCCGAGACTATATAGGGGAGTCCATTGAAACGAAACGAAATGAAAATATCTTTATTCAAGTAGGCTATTACAAGCACTTTTGAATCATCCAAAAAGCTTTTTTCCCCTACCACTTGTTCAGGACGTCTTTTAGCTGACAAGAAGAACAAGCGAAAGAAACTTACCAGCTTTTTATTATAAGTTATGAAATGACATTTACATAAATCATGTCATTACCAAAATAATATGTATTATCACAATAGTAAATACAACTTTCAAAGTCTGTAGGACATAGGTTGAACATATAATTAGAACAAAGCGAAGGCTATTAATTCCATGCATTGCGATCCTTAAAATAATCATCAACTTTATAATAGCCTTTACTCATAAGTATATTCTTTACATGAATTTGAAATTTATTTATGGGTAGGTCAATTACATTTTGTGGAACTATATTGAACATTTACCCAGAAATGATCCTCTGGTTTTTTGAAGTCTGAAGCTTGGAACAGCAAGTTTATCTTTATTTCTTGTGTTAAGATTATGATCACTACTTTTTTTTGTGAAGGAATCGTAATGTTTTCTTGTGTACATAATATTCTCATAGATGTATTGAGAGGCAACAGTCAGAATATTTATTTCTTTAAATATTTCTCTGAGAGATTCCCTAGACCGTAAATTATATATAGCACGGACAGCTCTCTTTTGTAAAATAAAAATATCCTGAATGCTAGCCGCAGAACCCCATAACAATATACCATACGTCATTACACTATGAAAATAACTAAAATATACCAATCTTGCCGTTTCAACATTTGTCAAGAGTCTAATTTTCTTAACAGCAAAAGCTGCAGAACTCAGCCTACTTGACAAACTATCAATATGAGGATCCCATTGCAGTCGGGAATCTAGTGTAATACCAAGGAACTTTGTCGATTCTACTAACTCAACTTTTTCACTATTTACATTTATAAGTGTACTGACATGCCCCACATTAGGTAATGCAAACTTTATGCATTTCGTTTTATTTGAATTGAGCTTTAAATTATTATTATCAAACCACTGTAGAACATTGTCGAGAGCATTATTTACATCGTCAAAACAATCATTACCCCTCTCGACTTTAAACAGTAAAGAGTCATCTGCAAATAATACTGTCTCGCACAAATTCTTCGTAAAGTGAGGAAGATCATTAATATAAATTAGAAAAAGCAATGGTCCTAATATCGATCCCTGAGGTACGCCCATAGTAACTGGTCCCCCTGCAGATTTCGCTTCATTGATTACTACTTTTTGAATTCTAGCAGAAAGATATGATCTTATTAGATGAAGTGAATTTTTCGTCACACCATAATGCTCTAATTTCCCCAACAGTGTTTCATGACTAACGCAGTCGAATGCTTTTGATAGATCACAAAAAATGCCAATCGCATTTTGTTTATTCTCCCAAGCATCATAGATATGCCTTAGAAGTGCAATTCCAGCGTCTGTGGTACATTTATCTCTGCTAAAGCCAAACTGATTTTGGTGAAGTAATTTATTTAATGAAAAGTGTGCAAGCAGTTGATTGTAAATAATTTTCTCAAATACTTTACTTAACTTAAGTATAGAAATTGGTCTGAAATTACTGGGATCAGACTTGTCGCCTGCCTTGAAAAGTGGGATTATTTTACCATATTTCATTAAATCAGGAAAAGTTCCTTCATCAATGCATTTATTAAAAATAAAAGTTAATTGAGGCGCTATAGATGGTATTATAGATTTGATAACATAAGTTGAAACGCCCCAAAGATCTTCGGTTTTTTTGACATTAATAGAATTAAATGTTTTAATAATTGAGCAGACGTTAACGTGTCTAAAATAAAATTCAGTATTGCACTTATCAACAACTGACTCTAGATGCGTAACCGCAAGTTTAGAACATGAACTAAGATTTCTAGTGATTTCTATTGGTGTCTTAGAAAAGAATTTCTCAAATGTATCGGCAACCGCTTCATCTGTTTTAATAGTTTTATTGTCAATCTCTAATGAGTATGTGCGCATATTACTTTTATTTTTACCCGTTTCTTGATTTATGATAGTCCAGGTTGTTTTTATTTTATTTTCTGAATTGTAAATTTTTTCAGATATATATTTTGCTTTTGCTGAAACACATACTTTCCTAAAAATTTTCGAATAATTCCACAACATATTCAATAAACTTTGGATCGGTCGAGGTACACTTTAACTCATACAAATCATACAGCCTATTTCGACTTTTGTAGATGCCAGGTGTAGCCCAATCACTAAATTTCTTTTTTTGGTTAGTAAAATTAATTGTTTTGAGTTTAAATGTTTTATCAAATTCTCCCTTTATCAAGTTAAAGAAATTATTATAAACATCATTTATATTTTCCAAATTCCTAGTTGTCAACTGAGTCTGATTTGCAGAAACACTGTTTTTAAATTTTTCTAAATTACTTTTGGTAATAGGTCTACAAATTATATTGCATTTAGGAGAAACATGATGGTGCTCGAAAGTTGCTAGAACTCCGCTATGGTCAGATTGAATACAATTTATTATCGATTTTTTGAATACCTTACATTTACAAAAAATATTATCTAAGCAAGTAGCAGATGTAGGTGTAATGCGGGTAGGTTCATTAAAAATATTTTCTAAATTAAAACATTTAAACAAGTTCAAAAATCTACTTGATTTAGCACATTTTATTAAAATATCTATATTAAAATCATCACATATCACTACTTTCTTATCGACTTTGCAAATTAATTTAAATGCATCCTCCATAGCAGATTCAAATTGACAGTAGTCCCCATCAGGTGGTCTATATACACATATAATAACATACTGTTCAAGTTCCACACATGACAATTCAATATGTCGCTCAATTGAGAGGGATACTATATCTTTACGTTCTTTACATTTTAAATAATTACTTATTATTATTAAAGAACCCCCTCGTATGGCATTTATCCTACAGAATGAACTTATAATTTTATAATTTTTAAAACCCGCAATTAATTCATAATTTTTGAGCCAGTGCTCTGTAATACATATTATATCAATATTCATACTATTTAAACACATTTCAAATTCTAGATCTTTTCCAGAAAAGCCTTGTATATTTTGGTGAACAATAGTTAAGTAGGTAGACTTTTCCTTGGTCATCTCGTTGCTGGAGATTTTCTCTATTGTCTTATTAAACAATTTAAATTATTTAAATTGTCAAAATTTAGTTTTAGAACATATTCCAAAGTCTGTTTGTTTAAGTCAAAATAATTCTGCTCAATAAAAGCAGTAGAGATAGCCAAATTTTTGCCTAAATTTTAAAAATAAAATACTAGCGAGGATGCTGTTTGTCTCTTAAAATAAAAAGAAAGATAATATTTATCTCTTGTCAAATATAAATTAAAGATTAATTTGTTTATGTCAATTACATGTATTTTTTTTATTATAATTAGCTATAGTATTTAATGTCATATTAAACTTATATCTAATATTATTTTCCTCCCGTGGCAAACTGTTACTATAAGGTAATGTAAACATAATAATTTTATTTAAATTCAAGGAGCTTAAGGTTTTGAAGTAGTTACATAATTCTCTTTTATTTACATTACCTCTATTTCCAATTAAAATTACTAAGTCTGTACCCTCGTCAATATTTAAAGTAAGCACTTTTTGCATTAGTTGATGCAATTTAATACCGGGCATACAATAATTAATAATGTTATCTCCTAACTGGTTATGTAATAAGTGGTGGTGTAATAAGTGGTAATAAGTGACATAATATAACCGTTTTTATACATTTTTATTGTTAAAAGAGTTATTGTCACTTGTGCTTTGTGTATAATTAACAGAATTAGAGTATAAGGGCTCACAAACTGATTGATTATTTTGCTTCTCCCTGGAATCCAGGCCTGACACCAAGGAGAAAGAATCCAATTGTGTATCCTCTGATATAGAGGTATTTGATAAGCATTTTAAGGCTAGTATGTATTCCCCTATCTCTTTTTTGGAGTGATCATAATTTTTAGTCATTTTTACTAATGAATTTTGCAGGTTATTTATTTTGCTATTTAACATGTTAATATGGATATGGATATGGATTCTTTGGAAATATATAGTGACTAGTGGACGCCCGCGACTTCGTCCGCGTGGAAGTCGGTATCCCGTGGGAGTGAGAAGTTTTCCCAGTAAAAAGTACCCTATGTGTTATTCTGATGTATAACCTATATTGCTGTAAAGTTTTATCCAAATCCGTCCAGTAGTTTTTTCGTGAAAGAGTAACAAACATCCATACATCCATACTTACAAACTTTCGCCTTTATAATATTAATAGGATAGGATAAATTATGTGAAAGTCGGCAGATGTATGACCGGGATACAAAAAAATTTCAATTTGAAATAAAAAAATTACATGAATCAATAGAATTAATACAAAATAAATATTTAGTTGCACAGTCTCAGATTGATGAGCATATTAGGTCTGCCACAGAGTTGGTTAACCTATGCAATTACAATGCTGACCGTTACCATTCACTGTTAAATAATAAACAATTAATTAACAAAACAAATAACAGCTTTAGTAACAATAACAATAATAATATTCAGAAACAATTTATAAATACACAGAAACCCTGTCAGTCATCTGCCCACCAGTCACAACTGTTTACTCAGGTACCTGTTCAGTCATCTGTTACTGATGACTGCTCCCCATCACAATTTTCCCAACGTCACAGAATAAATTCACAAAATTATAAAAATAATATTTTAATGTTCAGTGAT